GGTTCGGGGTAGAGGGGGTCAATGGGGGGAAAAAGGGACATCTGTAAACCTTTCAACAATAAAGATAAATTTAAAATAAAAAAAATAAAAGAGGAAACAGGTTTAAATAATTATTTATTCAGAAAGGTATTTAGGCAACAGAAGAAAAGTGGTTTTACTATGTATGCGCCTTCTGTTGTAACTGCCTCAGAATACCTTTGGAAGTCAACACTAATAAATACCAGATAATCACCCCAGGGGACTGTCACATGCCACCATGATGGGGGCATCAGTGACTTCTCTTTTTCTCTCTGAGACAGAAGAAACTCCCAACACAATCCTCACCCCACTCCCTTCAGTGTCTCCCTCCTACCAAACACACAGTCCCTGCACTATCTGCTACTTTGACTGGTCCTGGGCAGTCAGCTCTGAGCCCCTAGGAAGGAAGTCAAGGGCAACCCAGGGAGCCCTCTCCCTCTCCTCCTCGCCTGTGCCTGCTTCGTGAGATTAGCCCTGGGCTAGAACAAAGCGCCAGGATGGAGATGAACCCCTTAGAAAGTCTGTTTCCAAGCTGCCCATGACTAAGTCAGTCACTTCCCAAAAACACACCGAATGTTTCAGACCCTCAACTGAGTATGTGTAGGTCTAATTTTGTCATCTAGATTGTAATGGGATTGTTATGACTCAGGCTTTTTAATATTTTCCAGCATGTGCTAGGTACAGAGCACATGTCTGAGAAATTCTTGATTACCTGGACCAGAGAGTCAAAGTGACCAAGTGCAACCAACACTCGGCATCGGGAAAGGAAGCGGCAGACAGAGCACGCGCTGGGGGCAGAGGCTCTGCAGCCAAGGCCAGGCGACGCATACGGAAAAAAGAAAGAGGCTACTTACGTGATTAACTGTGCATTGTCGTGCTTCTTCTGAATGAGCAGCTTGCGCCTCCAACGGAGAAATGACCAGAGGGTAGAGTACGGGTTCCCCGAAATTTCACACATATCCCCATGAGTCCACACTTCCAAGCCCACGAGAGCAATGCGAATGTTAAAGGGTCGGTAAAACTGGAACAGAAAAGCCACAGCATCATCTTCACCTGCCAGTGCTATGAAGGAACTTATGAATCTCAGGTGGCTAAATAGTATTCCCCTGTATGGATGTACCCAATTGTATATGGATATTTTATTGTAAGATGTCTCCACTCATTTTGGAAGTAAGTGTGTATAAATGATCTACGAGTAGGTAGATATGCTTACTCTCAAAAGTTTCCTTCCCCATTACTAGAGGTGTTCAGCTTTCGTCAAGGACACCACAAAGAGGCTGTAAGCATTAGACTGCAAAAGTCCCAAAGATTTGGAAATTCTATAAATGAGACCTGACTTTCAGGATCCTTAAAGCTACAACTCTATCTGACCTTTATGATATGCTGTATCTTTCATGTCATATACATATAACAGGATGAGAGCCTTTTTTAAAGCTAACTATTGGAAAGCGTGGGTATAAGGAATTCTTTGACTGGTATACCCTAGAGACTCCTGAGGCAGTGACTTTTAAAAAAAAAGTTGCATGTAAATCTAGATCACATGAGCAAGGAGATGCCATTTTATCCAAAAGTGGATGACTTTGGGCAGGTAGTGCCCCAGCTAAAAGTAACAATTGGAGCACTTTCTGTGTACTAAGCACTGACGCTTAGTGTTAAGTACCTTGCCCAAAGTCTCAGCAGAAAAACGGTGGAGCCAGGATTAAAGCCAAAACGACCAGATCTCAGAGCCTACACATGACCCTACACTGCTTAAGTTTGGGCATTTTTATATCCACTTGCTTCCAAGAAATTGTGGTGTGAAAAGGGCTCCAGATTCAGCAAAACATCAGTTGATCTTAACAGAAATTTTGATTTTCCTGTTTTGTGCCAGGTCAATCATTACAGAAAATTAAAGGTTTGGATTCCAAGTTGAACTGGCTTCACTAGGGAGCTTCTTAAAGACTTAAACTTGGCTCTTTCAGGGCTAAGGAAAAGCATTTTAGATTGGCTTCATGATTCAGCAAATTAATGCAGTTCATTCCAGGTTTAGTTCAACAACAGTTCAGTTCAAATAGCTGGGTCAGCGAGCCTCAGAGAAGTAGGTTAGCCTCCCAGGCAGGAATGATGAACATCAGCTGCTGAGGAGAGAGCCCAGGCTGCTCCACAGAATGGACCAGCTAGCCAGCCAGGCGGGCTTCGAGGATGGACTGGGCTTTGCTCATGGCTCTCTTCTCCTTTCATGTTTCATCAGCGCCCTTGGTTCTGTCACCTGGACCAGCTGGACAGTTCACAAAGGGCAGACCCAGCCAAGTGTCCCACCTGCCGTGTATCCAGAACAATAGCTGTCACCTCCAGAACAATAGATGTCATGCGGGTGATAACAGAGTCTGCCTCCTGTATATTCCCCAGGGAATCAAGCTAAGTTTTTTTCCAGATGTTGAGTGTTTGGGTTGTAGGATCATTTAGATGTTATTGTTGAGTGAGTTGAGAGCTAGAGACCGTGGACTGTGTCCCTGGAGTCTTTCCTTCCAAGAAATGCCAGTGTTTGACTTTCACCAGTCACTGAAGACTGACAGAAATTTCCAGAGCCATCTTGGGCACAACAAAAACATATGGCATAGGCCTTCCCACCTGATGATGTCAGAACACTACCAAATTTGCTTGTAAACCCCCCCCCCCAAATATTTAAGTTCTCTTCTCTGTACTCTAGGGTTTAGGAAAAAATAATTTCTCCTTTTCACCTGGGACTCATGAATCCCTAGGAGGCCCAGAGTTAAAGGTTCAGAAGTTCTGAGTGGCCTGGAATTGTACAATGTTCTTAGAGTCTCAAAGAGACCTGTGACCCAAAACATATTAAAATCTACATTTTTTAAAACTACTGCTAGCCTATCAAGGCGCTAGATTACCTGTTTACTGCATTTTGCACTATAAAAAATACAAAAAAAGTATTTAGAAACCAAAGTATTTCCGTGTCCCAGACCAGCCTGTTCTAGCAAAATTCAAGAACTTGGTTATTTCCTGAGAGCACGTTTAAAAGTCCTCTCTAGGAAAGTTAACCATCTGCGCGGTCTTTCTGAGACAGGAAATCATTTTAGAACCACTTCACAGGTGGAGACTATACAGATTGGTCCCAAAACAACCACTCAGTTTTTAGCATTCGGTCCTTTCCCTTCCTGACCTACCTCAGTTCTCTCCTAAGTCAGAGAGTTACTGGGCTTTGTTCCTGGAAGGAACTTAAAGAACCTTCAAGCATTCTTAAACTAAGCTTCTCCATGTCCTCGGTTCCCTGGGAGCCACTGCAGGGACGGAGGGTAAGGGGTCAGAGGACAACGATCTCGGTCCTCACCCCGCTTTGGCCTGGCGCAGTCTGTGTCATCTGACCTTTTCACTACACTGTTCTGTACCGGTTTCAGCCTACTAATAACCAGTGTTATACAGCTGGACCACCTCTGTGGTTCTTATTATGATTGCAATACTCCCTACAGCAATAACCATCAGGGTTTATTACTTACAAGACCTGGAAATTACACCGCACACCTGGGGCCACACAGCAAGGTGGGGGGTGGGGGTGGGGGAGAGAGAGCAGGCCAGGGTTCTGCTTTTACTGGGGTAAAGGGTGAGGACCCAGGTTTTTGAGGACTCGCTCTTTACTGATGAATTTAAAACACAGAGTGGGAATTTAAAGCCCAGGAAAAAACAAAAACAAGTAGCCCAAATGGTCTCTTATCTAAATCAACCAAGATCTCTAAAACAAAGGCGCCTCAGTGGAGGGAGGTGGTGGCAAGAGAGCCCCACTTTGAAGTGAATTCCTGGGCAATCAAAGCTTAAGCCAGCCACTTGCATTACAAAAAGAAGAAAATAAACCATGTCAGAGTTTATGCTACATGGACAGTGGCATAGGATTTCATTTTTAAAAAGATGCCACCAGAAAAATAAAAATAATCCAAAGCCATTGATTTAGGCCAACCCCTCTATTTTGTAAATTCAAAACAAAACAAAACTTCGAGCCAAAGAAGATGAGTCACTTGGCTAAGGGCACATAGTTGAGCTTCGTGAAGATCACCAGAGCCTCTGAGGCATTGCTATTCCCTCTCAGGGACTGGCTGGGCCAGGCATCCATCACGAGGCAGCTCAGGTGCCATGTGGTCTCCTGTGCTCTGAGGTGCTGGCACCTTTCCCAGAAAGTACACACCTGGTCTCACCTTATCAACATAATTGGCGATCTCAATGAGCTTGTGTTTGGTGGCATCTGGGTCTCGTCCATTCTTCTGAAACTAAATGGGACAAGCAGAAGTAGGTAAGACCCCAGGACCTCTCTCATAATCCTTCCTGTGCTCATTACTTGTCTTTCAATTAGTTCTTACTTTCTTCCATCTTCTACGAGCAGTCATTTTTATACGGTTATCCCCGCCCCGCCCTACACACACACATACATGTACATGCACACGCACACACACACGCACAGTGTCAGCTCAGCGAGAGCAGAGCCCGGATCACATCCGTCTTGGTACCCCACCCACCAGCTCGATGCCAAGCACAGGGTAGGCATGCAGCAGTTGCGTAGCGCATCGAGTTCTCCTTCTCCAGCCCTTGAAGTCAACCTTGTTCTGTCCTCCAAAGTAGAAGGCCTCCTGCAAACTCCCACTGTGCCTTTCCCAACCGATCCTCGCCTTGCTCATCACCCCAACACAAAGCCACCAACACAGGGATTTCAACAGGCCTCCCTACATGTGATCAATCAGCAGGGTCAAATTGTTGCTGACCGCCTGCTGTGTGCAAGGCATTGTACTTGGCTCTAGGTGTGAGATCCTGGTACTAGCCTGGAGGAGCTTCAATTAAAACAGAGAGAGGGCCAGAAATAATGGCAATGGCAGACTCTGTATTTAAGGAGCTGTATATAACTGAAACGGACTGAGAAAACATGGACAGAAATAAATGCAATACGAGGCCTCATGATCGATACAAAATGGGTGCTGGTGTTGAGGACCCTAAGACCTTGGCTTTGTCTGACACGTCACTCAGATCGCCTGGCAGTGTCTTCTACGGTGAGAAGGATTCTGAGACCGTGGAGCTCGGCAGGGAAGAGAGCTGTGCTCGATTAGAAATGCCTGCCACGGGTACCAGGGAGAGGACATTTCAGTATGTAGCCTCGTATTTATCCTTCCTGTTTCAAAAGAATAGATCTCTTTCAGCTGCAATAATGAAGGAGGGCTTCACAGGGTAAAGACAAAATTTGCTTACAGTTGACCTAACTTTGCAAGTGATGGGCATGTCCTGTCCACTCTCATTGTTACATAGAACCTGGGTACCTATCTGATTTACTTTGGGTATACATATATATGTTGCTTCAATTCCAAACCTTCCTGCCCTTCCTCCACCCCATCCAGCAAGAATATCCAAACAGGAAACAAAAACGACAGCCAGATAAAACTCCCTGGGATACTGGGTGTGATGGGGTGTGTCTGCCATAATACAGGGGAGAAAACCACCCTTTACTATTCTTCCACTGCACTTGGACTTGCCTGAGTTTCCTTTGCACTCATCAGAACTGTCAACAACCTCACTTTCACCATTGCTTTCTAAGAGTTCAATGCAATGTCAGGCATTGCGACTCAGACCTTTACAAGGTGTTAATCCTGAAGTTTCTCATTATAGAGTCATCTCATTTCTAAATCGGTCTCACTGCACAGAAAGTGTTGCAGGATTTAGTGAATATTTATTATAAAACCCGAGTCATATTTATTGCCTTTCAAATATATTACTCCTATCTTTAAGCAACTGCCTGAAACCACCACAGTCTAAGGAATGTACCATGTCGTATAGAAGAGTCTCAAGCAGGAGTCAGCAAACTTCTTCTTAAATGGACAGACTGTAAATATTTTAGGCTTTGCAGCCATACTGTCTCCTCTGCCATTATAGCTCAAAAGCAGCCGTGGACAATACATGCAGCAGTAGGCATGGAAGTGTCCCGGTAAAACTCTATTTATAAAAATATGGTGGGCTGGATTTGACCACGGGCTATAGCTTGCAGACCCCTGATCTAAAGAAAGGGCTGTCTCAACCTGATACTTTCTAGGGTGACGGAGGCAGTAAAGCACAGTGTATCACCTGGCACCAACTGCCTCGCATTCCGTCTGCATCATGAAAGTTCCTGGCACTCCTGTTTTACGGCTGTCCTGCCCCCTCCGACAACATCCCACCTTGCCTTCCCTCTCCTGGATTTCCCATTTCACCCGAGGAAGTGACCTGAGGCCCACCCAGGCGCTCCCACCCAGGCCCAGGGAGTGAGCAGCTGCGTGGCCATTTTCACTGCTGACAATTGTCTCTCTCTAGGCAGCAACGCCATCCCTGTCTCTGCTCCCTGCGCACAGCCCAGAGGAGGAGCCTGGCCTGTCGAAGCACCAGGCTGTAAATCACAGTAGGGCAGCCCTCCCCCTCCCTGTCTTCCCATCCTTTCAGATGAATTAATTGGCAGGAATACATTTCTGCCTGCAGAGGATGAGAGGCTGCTTGAAGGGGGAGTGGGGGAGAGGCGGTGAGGGGGAGGGACTTGTGAGCCTGAGAACCAGCCTGGCCTCCCTATCCCCGCTCCAGCCCTCCCATGACTCATTCAAAGCCCAGGACCCTGAGAAATAGGCAAGTTCCCGGTCCCCAGGCAGAAGGAGTCCTGCCTGAAGGCACTCCCCTCGGAAATAGAATGAGGGCTCTAAGGCAACACCATAGTCCTGAAGCACCTGGAGCAGTCAGATGTCCTTGTGGGGGTTTTCTGTGACCCTGGAGGTCAGGAGGCTGAAGATACCCAATCCTTTCCCTGCCCCTGCTTCCCTGGCTTCCACAGACTGACATGTAGTGGGGTGTAAAACCCTGCCCCAAAATTCCACTGGGGAGAGTGCTGGGCTGAAGGGAAGGGTCACCCCACATTACAATAGAGTGGCTGTGTTTCTGTATGCTTAACTACTGGGGTCCCAGGAGCTTTCATCTGTTGCTGGAAAAAAAAAAGGGGGTTCAAGAACACTGTACTAGATGATCTTAGATGCAAAGTTGAAATGGAAAAATTTCCTGGAGTCAGAAGAGTTCAGCTCTTCCAGCAACTCTCCCGCAAGGGGCCAACGAGGGTTACCTCCTCCCGTGCCATGGAGCCTTGGCACTTGGCACCAACGGCCTCACATTCCGCCTGCATCATGAAAGTTCTTTGCACTCCTGAGACAAACCGGAGCGGGGATGAGTCCTGTCCTCAGGGGAGCCCAGGCGAGTGTGCAGTGCGGAGCACAAAGAGTGCTCAGCTCCGCATGACTTTCTATGCCCAGAAGATGTGCTTAGCTATGTGGTTGAGTCGCTACATAAAGTGAGAACTGGAGGTAAAATATGGCTAATTTAGGCAAACATGGGCTCTGGGGCTTGAATCCATTCTTTAGGTGTCAGCTTCAACGTCACCGCCTTGGAGAAGCTTCCCCCAATTTCCAAACCCACCAGTTGGATCCCTCATTGTCTGCGCTTCTAATTCTCTATAATGAAACATTTCAGCAGTTATCACACTTGGGACTAGTGTGCAGTTGTAAGCCCTGTGATATCGGGGGCAGGTCTGCCTATATATCCTGGGGCCAAGTACTCTGCTTGGCACATAACAGAGAATCGAGAAATCAATGGTGAATAAATGAAATGAGGGGGAGAGAGAGAGAGAAGAGGGGTCATCAAATCTTAGAAGTCAGGGCCTGCGAGAATCTGATTAATTTGAGGAACATGGAATTAAAGGCCAAACAGCCATTCCTTTAGGTCAGTAGTTCTCAAACTTGCCTGTGTATCAGAATCACCCAGAGGGCTTGTCAGAACCTGGACTGCTGGACTCCAGTCCCACAGCTTAGGATTCAGTAGTCCTGGGGTACAGCCCAAGAATGTGCATTTTCACAAGTTCCCGGGTGCTACTAACACTACTGGTCCTGGGACCACATTTTGGGGACCACAGCTTCAAGTTTTCATTGAGCAACAACCTGATTATAAAAATGGACCCATACATGGGCAAGAAAATTGTATTAAGTCAGAGGATTCAGAATACGTGTATTATCTGTGCAAAAACACTTGTTTTTTGAATTTCTATAGAGAATTCATAGATTCCCCAAGAATAAGCACCAAAATCTAGAAGTCTTCAGACCTGGTCTAAGAAACATTAATCAAAATAACGCAGGTTGTACTGATTTTTTAATCTGATTAATGTGTTAGGCTAGAAGAGGCTCTTCCTTGCTTTTTTCCCAACCATGTTTAAAATAGCAAAGAGAGCCCTTGGTCAGATTTAAGGTCAAAATCACATGACAACGGGACAAAGACGATTGCTCCAGCATTCCTCTGGAGCAGTTCGAAGCGTGGGATGGGAGCTACCAAGAGAGCGGTTCTTCTGCTAAAAGCCGTTGCCTCCCCCTTACCTCCGCGTAATCAGCCACGAGGTAAAGCTCCACGTACTTCATGGAGTTAAAATCTTCCCTTTTCATCTGAGAAGGAGAGACAAGCAGATCAGAGCTGTAGAAATGGTGCCTTGGCCTCACTTCAGAAAACTCCTAAGCAGTGCTGCTAGTTTAGTTTTGTGCTTGGGCACCCGGGCCAGCTCCCGCTGTGGTCGCCACCACCCTCACTGCACCCTCCGCCTGCCGTCTTGGTCACTGGCAGGTGCTCGGGGACACTGGTCCTGTCCTTTAGCCTCAAAAAGCAGTGAGCTGGGTGGACTGGCTGGAGCAGGATGAACAGAGGCCAACATTCTGTGCGGGATCATGCTGACATCAAGTTCCTCAAAACCGTTTAAGCCACACACACCTCTACTGTCGGTATAGACACAAGCAGTTAAGGGGCTATTCCGAAAAGGGACGTATAGGTTTTTTCCCCCCTCACATTTTCAAGTTTCTGAAATTATCATCTCAGAGTATTTTAAAAGTAACGGTGTTTTCCCCAAAGCGCTATTCTATCAAATACAAGGTAACCCAGAGTCAATGATGACTCAGAATGAAAGAAAATGCTAACAACTCCTTCTTAGCCATCTCCCTTTAATTCAGAATTACTCCTGGGTCCTCCGAGGGAACAAGCCTATCCCAAGGTGGACTCCGGCACTGAGAACTCACCCGGCGAGGTGGTTTCTTGATCTGGTTTGTAAACTGAAGGCCCCAGTCCCTGCTGGTGTTGCCGGAGTGCTCGAACCCACAGCTCCCTGGGGGCAGCTTGAGGTGTTCCGATCTGTAAATAAGGTGCTGGCCCGCACTGTTGGGGATGGGCTCGATGATGTAGCTGAGGTTGCTGCTCACCACAATCAGTCCTCTGTCGGTAGGATAGACGGAATCTCTGGTTAAAGATTACGGCCCTGGAAAAGTCCCTTGCTCAGGACTCAGTTTCCCCCATATGCAAAATGACATAGTTGGTTGTGATCATTCGTTTTTTGGTTTTTTTTAATGAATCCTCACCAGAGGGTTTGATTTTTAGAGAGAGTGGGAGGGAGGGAGGTAGGAAGGGGGAGAAAGAGAGAGAAACATCAATGTGAGAGGGACACATGGTCTGGTTGCCTCCTGAAGTGTCCCGCCGATCCAACCTGCAACCCAGGTACGTGCCCTCAACAGAGAATAGAACCTGTGACCCTTCGGTGCGCCGGCTGACCCTCTAACCGCTGTGCCACACCGGCCAGGGCCGATCTTGGTTCTTAACCTTCTCATGGAGTTATCCGCCCTTTGCCGAGAAGCTGATGCCAGCTCAGACTTCCTCTCCAGAGAAACGCACGTGTATGTAAATGTGGTACACAACTGCAGGCACTCAAAGCTTAGCGCAGAGCAGCTCAAAGGTTCTAGGAGGCTGCACCAGGGACGGCTAACAAATGACGGTAAGACCAGGATTCAAAAAAGCTTCCCGAACCCAAACGTGGCATATGATGAGTCACAGGTGGAAACTTTACAGACTCAGAAAGAGATGATATGCGGAGCAGAGAAAGGACACTGGTCTGGGGGTGTGGAGAACTTGTGAAATGTTCTTCAACAAACCTCTTAAATCATTCTGAACCTCAGTTTCCCCGTGTGTAAATGCAAGTGATAATTCACTAACTCATGAGGACTCTTAGGATGATTAAATGGGATGACAAGTGTTGTTGTCCTTGGAAACCAAAGCTGGAGGCATCACCGATGTGGCATTCCTACCAGCCCCGACTTCCCCGTGTCCGCAAGGCAGCTCTTTGGTCAAGTGACACCCACCCCCAAGCATGTGTGACTTACTTTCTCTTGGTTATAGATACCAGCGCTGAACACAGAATAAAGACGTGTTTGTTCATTATATTCACTTACGGAGCCCTTACTCTAGACGTAATCCCTGTCCTCGGGTAATTCACAGCCCACTGGGGGACAGACATTCATTCCGCAAATATTTCCTGAGCTACTGCTATGGGCCAGGCATCGTGCTAGCTGCTGGAGATGGAGTAGTGAGCAAGACAGACAAAGTGCCTGCCCTCGTGGAGCCCGAAGTCTGAACATGGGAATAAATCACTACAGTGCATAACAGAGACAGCTAAAGGTTTCGTCACCCAACACCCGTGCGTTGGACGCAGCTGCCTGAAGGGCTGCAGCAGTGAGGTGAGACAGCTCGCTACGACTTACCCATCACTATCGCAAATCAATGGAAAGGTGAGTAGGGGCCCATGTGGCAGGTATTTGCATCCTTGATACAGTGAGGTGAGCAGTGAGATGAATACAAGAGAATGTACCCAGGGCTCTGGGGCAGGAAGAAGCCCAGCAGTGAGTCCCAGGGGCCCCACCAGCATTTCATGTGCTCCAAAACGCACCCAGAAAATTCACAAGTTAACTTATCTCCACATCAGTCTCTGCCACTCCAAATTGAAAGGACCTCTCTCTCTAGCTGTCTGGGCTTCCAGCCCCACCCCAAGCTCCTCAGGACTTCTACCCAGGGCTGGCCCTTTGGGGAGAGCCTGTGATGCTCTCAGGAAAGACAATGCCAGGCTCTGATCGGCAGCAGCCCTTCCTGGAACCCATGCCTGGCTGACCTCATTCCGGCACTGGGGAGCCTGGCAGCTTCCAAGCTGCCTTGCCCAGGCTGACACAGCAGTCCTAGAGCAGTCCTGCAGCTGCCCATTGGCAGGACACCCAAGGTGCTCCCTGGACAGCTGGGTGTGGAAATGGGGCGAAGAGCAAGGGTCACATCCGCTCCCGAATCCAGACAGGAAAGGCACAGGGCAGAGCTGCTGCGGGCATCCTGTTACCAAACTATCTCTTACCTCAGCCGACCAAGGCCCTTCCCATCACCTCATTTTCCTCAATGGTTATGAACTCTTTGCAAACACAGACGGCTTGACCACAAACCAGCTAATGGTTTTGTATGCATCAGGCTGTGGCTGTGGAGATAACACCCAGTGAATGGAAAGTTCCACGTGGGGACTGGGGAAAGTTCCAGTGCAGGTGACTGGGCATCATTGGAATAGGCCTCTGGGCAAAACAGGACGGAGACCATGCCAAAGTGTAGTGCAGGGTGAATAGTAATAATCATGGTAACTATAAATGACTGAGCCTTTGCTGTGGACCAGGCACTGTGCTGAGTATTTCACTATTCACAGCAGCTTCCATGATCCTTACAAATATTATCCTCATTGTTTCAAATGAGAAAACTAAGGCTCAGTGAGGTTAATTAACCGACCCAAATTCACACAGGTAGTAAGGACCTCAGCAGCCTGGTTCCAGGTCCCACGACCTTAACCGTGACCTCACATGCCTTTGTCACAATTGTCCTGTAGACTGGGTCAGAAAGGTATCCCCAGGTGGCTACAAATGATGGGCACCAGCAACCCTCCTCTGTGGGGTAATTGGCCATTACTCAACTGGCTTGTCTGAAGACCCCACTGTTCTTATTTCATTCCCACCTCAGCACTATGAGGCACCACCAGGGGTCCCATTTTATAGATGAGGAAACTGATAACCAAAGAGATTAAACAATAAGCTCTCGTGAGTCTCTGGCGCCAAAGATTCAAGGTCTGGTAGACTCTGCATACCATGCCCTTAACCTCTATGCTGTGTCTCCGTCACTGAGTTCCAAACCTATGGCTTAGAGATTGCTAGATCAGAGCTACATATTAGAATATTCTACAGCATGCATTACAAATACAGAGGTAGGAGACTTGGATTCTATTGGCCTGGGTATCGGCACGCTTAACAAGTCCCACAGAAATGCCTTGCACAGCCACAGTCAGGAATTGTGTCTGGAGCCCAGGCTGTGCAGCAGGAGCCCACCCCTGCACAAGCCCCTAGAAATTCTGTTTCAGGGAGTAGGCAGATGACAATTCAAGAAACACAGGCTCAGAAGGACACTGGAAGTCTTCCCAGCAATAGGACTCTGTGGCCCTCCCCTCATCCCCCCCCACTGTGGCCCCTGGTGACTCACCCTATGTCACAGTGCCAATCCTCCCAGACTGCCTGGGGATGGGGGAGAAGCTGGCACAAGTTCCAGCACTTCACAGTGAACCCCAGCTTTGAGAGTGGAAGCATTTCTGAGAATTTAGTTCCTGGGGCCCTGCCCCGTGACCACCCCCAAGTCCTGCTAGCTGCCCTCCTGTGAACACTCACCAGTTGTTTATCCTTCTAGCAGCCTCAGTTGATCTAATTTGCTAAATATAAGCTCTGGCAGAGCGTCACCAGGGGCATAGGAGGGGGCCCCAGGAGGCTGGGTGGCCAGGACACTCACAAGCTATTCTCCACTCTGCTCTCCATCCAATTTGCCATGGTTAAGAGCTTGATACAAATGAAATTGCACAGAGGAACCCTGGCCAGGCAGGTGATTCAGGTTTAACCCCTGTATGACTGCAGGACTGGTCCACATGCATCCTTCAAGGAACTAGGCAAGACTGCATCCTGAGAATGTGTCCACTCAGAGCTAAACACAGGGGACACCCCCTGACTCCCTACATGCAGAGCAGCCCTAAGAGGTAATCACCCTGTTACCCTTCCTTTCTCCCCTCTTAACCTCAATTTGCCTCCAAGTGAGAAGAAGTTACAGGGAGCTTCAAAGGCAGTCCAGAAGAGAGGAAAGAAGGCAGACAGGTGATATGCTCCTGGGGTGGCACATGTGGAGAGCATGGCCTGGGGGTGAGGCATGCCTGGATTCGAACTCTGGCTCTGCTGTCTACTAGCTGAGTGGTAAATCACTCAGCAAGGCTGCCCACCTCCCAGGGTTGCTATGATAACTGACGGAAGTAATAGGCAATGTTTACTAACAATCAAAGTAACATTAAATAGAACAGCGTATATTATACATCAGAGAGGGTACAAAGTACTTTACTCAATAGCCATTCAGCACATATGTACTGAGAAACTACTATGTGCCAGGAACTGTTCTAGGCTGGGAATGCAGCATGATAGGAAAAAAAGGTCCCTGCTCTCAAGCAGGTTGCACTCATCACCCAATGATGTCACTATTGTTCCCATTTTACAGGTGAGAAAAATTGAGGCTGGAAAACTGAAGCAAACTGTCAGGTTTTGACCCAGGAATTGTCTGATTTCAGAGCCTACACCTGTCACGGTACTCCCCTATGAGGGCCTACTCTGAGCCTGACACAGAGGTAGCACTCATCCATCTTCGTAAGGAAGGACAGGTATTCAAAGGGGAAAGGGCCTTGCCACTCCTTGGCAAAGGGGCAGACAGGTATAGACTGGCTCTCGTATACAGACCACCTCCTTCTGTCCCAGGAGCCCACCTCCCTGAGATTCTGCCCACTCTCTCTGCAGCACAGAACTTCCAACGCTAAAGGGTCCTTTATGTGGTCTGGTCTTCCCTCCTTTTCAGATGAGAGGAACCAAAGCCCAGAGAAAAAGGAATTTGCCTGAGGTCACCGAGTGAGTTACTACTAGGGCAAGGGGCAGATCCCGGGGTTTCCCGACCAGGTTTATTACTTGTGGTGGGGCCCTGACACTACCTCCAAGCCCCCTCCCCAGGATGCAGCAGCCTCCTGCCCCATGGGCACCATCTACATAACTGAGTAAGGACCACGGGAGGCACCAGCCCCACCAAGACAAAGACAAAGAGAACATGAAACAGGGGGAGGAAAGCTCAGGGATCACAGGACCTAGGTCACAAACTCAGGTCCCTTGACTCTAAATTCTGAGTTCCTTCCAGGCTCTTGTAGTTGAAAGGGTAAACAGAATAGAGAACTTTCACTATTTTGGCTATATACTTCTAAATTGTTTGAATGTATAACACACTAGCTATGTAATGGTAATTTTCTTTTAAAATATGTCTTCATTGATTTCAGAGAGAGGAAGGGAGAGGGGGAGAGAGAGAGAGAAACATCAATGATGAGAGAGTCATTGGTCGGCTGTCTCCTGCACACACCCTCTACTGGGGATTGAGCCCGAAAGCCGGGCATGTGCCCTGAATGGGAATCAAACTGAGATCTCCTGGATCCTAGGTCGACACTCAACCGCTGAGCCACACCAGCTGGGCTATAACGATAATTTTTAATAAGCAATTTCTTTAAAAATAAACTCATCAATCAGATTTTTTTAAAAATGTTTTTACTGCAATCAATACCTCTCCTGATGACAGACAGTGAGCTAGGGACACACGCACACACACAGTGTCTCCCATATTCCACAAGTTCAATCAAGAACACCTGAGCCAAATGCTGTCTAGACCTCTTCACAAATAATCAGCGCTGTTTACATTTCTACTTTGTGTTAGTTTGCCAAGCATCTGTGCATGTGAGAAGTCCTGTAGACATTTAGAGGATGAGTCTTTCATCGAGACAGACTTGAGGGGTATGGACAGCTGACATCCCTAACGAAATGGTGAGCCACATCTTTTTACTGCTGTAGTTCATAAGTATCCATAGCTGCCACTCAATTCTCAAAGGGGTCATTGGCCCAAATAAGATGACAAAGCACTGTTACATATCTATGCTCTTTTTTTGCAAGGAATATTTCTAACAGGATACACAAGACACTGATAACAATGGCCACCTCCAGGGAGGGGAGATTCTGTAAATCTGGGGTAAGAGACCTATCTTTAGTGTACATTCTTGTGCTATTTAAATTTCTTTTTACTATGATCATGTAGTACTTCTTCAATTAAAGTAGTTAAAGAACTGCTTTGGAGAGAAGAGGGGGCCTAGCCACCATCTAGAAACTCAGCTGAATTCCTCTGCATCTGTATCATCAGCCTGAAGACTTCACTAGGTATAAGTTCTACCTATTTTCACCACTCACAGGAGCGTGTTTCCAGGAGAAGCACATTTGCTAAAAAGATTTTCCACTGAGACATTGCTTTGGGGGGTGGGGGGGAGACTCGAGCGTTACATGGGTCTGAAGGCTGCAGCTGCTGCAGCTGCTCCTTCTCCAGAGTCCGAATGGAGCCATCTGGCTCAAGTCTCCGGCTCTTAAATCAGTCGAGTCCACAGACACCCTTGGTTGTTTAAGGTGTGTAGAGTGAGACGGCTGGGAAAGGAAGGCGGGTGGACCCCACCAGAGGGAAGCATGCAAAACAGAAACACATGGACGGCTCACCCGGTTTCCCCTTGTCAGCCGGGCTGCAGGAATGATTTACAGGAGGCCAAGCCAAGTTCCCACCACCCCAGACCAAGGGGACAGAGGAGAGGCAGAGAGATGCAAGTCACACCTGCATGTCCCCTTTCCTGCTTCTTGGGAAAGATGGTTGTTTACTTACAGACTGCAGGTGGCCGTGGCTGGGCCTGTAAACACCACCAGGAGGCCAAGTGACTTGGCTCAACCAAGTCACTTGAGTGGGGGGACTGGAGGCCACTGTTACAGCCCAGCCAAAGCTTGTTTCCTGTCTAATTCCCTCTGGCCAGCTCACCGTGAAGCCTTATAGACGAGACATGGCCCAATTCATAAACAAACATGTGGGATCTGCAGCCTTGCATTTGCATGTGGGCCTGGGTAAATTTGAGCACAGTTTCACTGTTATAAAATGGCATAAGACAATCATAATCATGTATGCCTGTAGAGTGCTGTTGAGTAAACCTAGCGCATCTCATTCTCTACCATGCCTGACATCAATGCCCATTTTACAGATGAGCAAACTGAGGGCTCAGAAAACTACTTTCCAATTCCTGTCTTTCCTCTACCTGTATGGGACGTGGGCAGAGAGCAGGCACCCAATATTAATACGTTGAATAAAAGAAACAATTATTGAATGAATCAGATGACAGAGAAGAAGGGTACACAGTGGAAACACCTACTGGCTCATGAGAGGCAGTCCTGAGCATATCTTCCCAATTCTGCCTTCAGGAACATCATGCTGACAGCTTTAAACTGGTCATGGTGGGAGTAGTTTTACCAGCATATTGGCAGATGCTACACATCAGGGCCTTTTCTTTTCTTTTTCTCATAGAGACAATTTATCAAAATATTGGGTACAGGTATCACATTAAAACCCAGGCAATTAAAATACAGGATTTTCAGGTCATCTCTGTTCCAAAAGGAGGGGAGTGGTGGAAGGGACTAAATAAATGATATTACTTCAACATACATGTATAGATCCTACCATATGCAAAGACTGGGGTAGGCTGGAGGAGGGAAACAGATGTGTGAGATACAATTTCTATTGTTGAGGAACGTACATTCTCAGGGACAAACTGTAACGTGCACAGAAATCACAGGGGGATCTTGGTAAAATGCAGATTATAACCCAGAAGGTCCGGGTGGGACCAGAGACACTGCATCTTGAACAAGCTCCCAGGTGATGCCGCCCCTCTGCAGGCCACACCTAGGAAGCGAGGATCTAGGAGGTGACTGGGTGCTCCTGTGTGACAGCCAGTTGTACACACTGGGTCTCTATCACCACTTCCAATCCTCATGACACTAGGAGCACATTCCCCTCATCCACATTTTACACATGAGACCATCGAGGCCCAAGGTCACCCAGCTCGCAAACGGCCGCTGGCTCACACCCAGGGAGCCCGGCTCAGAGAATGAAGAGTCACTCTCTTTCCCAGGTGCCCCCCAGTGGAAACTTTTCAGTGAACTTTCTGTCCTCGCTTCTCCTCTCTCTTCCCGCCCTCTCTTTTCACTAGCTGCCCATTTCCTTTTTCACTGCCTACAAGTACTTCTACCAGAGAAGAACAGAGCAGAAGCAGAAATAAATGCTCACGCTCATCAGTTTCCAGCATGTGAGCCGCATCGTTTATTTCCCATGTTCCGATGCTTTGACATCTGCTCCCAGGGTTAGCCAATTCCTCGAGACAGTAAACAACTCGCCAGTGAGCATACCTTTCAAACGTGAATTTCACTCTCTGGGCCACTAACCCCCTGCCCTGTCCACCTCAGGCCAGGTGCCAGACAACTAGGGACAGCCCCTGAGCCCCAGATCCCACAGAAATTACTGAAACTGGCCAATCTCACGCCTTGCCTGTTCCTTCCTGCAGAAATCATAATAAAGACTCTTGCCACATCTCCCCCTCTCCCTCTGCCTTCCAACTGACCCGTGTTTCCTGGGCACCCTCCCCCTTGCCTCCCCGTACATGCAGGGCAGGCAGGTTCCCTCCTCTTGGGATCTTGAGTACAACAAACTGTCTCTTCAGTGGCAGTTGTCTCCTGCTCCGTTGGCTTCACCATACCTGGATATCACTAAAACATCAAGTTCCTCCCAAGCTCAGCCTTTCTCAGAACTGGCTTGCATACACTCTCAATGGACAGCTTCTCCAGGTCCCCTGCCCAAGGCCAGCCCTGCTTGTCTGGAAAATCCCATTCCTGGAGACAGTGCCTGGTGTCCCCCAGCACTGTCAGGGCCTCTTACCTCATTCCCCGGCAGGTGCTGAGCGTGACACTGGACTCTTCTGCCTTCCTCACCGTCCCGTGGTAAAAGCAGTGATCCTAGGAAGGAGAGAGGGGTGCTGAGGCCGAAGACACTGATGATAAGCACAGTCACATTAATGTCTCGTGAAGGTCATGGATGATCACACATCTAGCCTAACCTTACAACCTGCAGAGAGCTTTCCAAGCCTCCACTTTATTTGATCCTGATCATAGTCCTGGGAGGCGAGACAGGGCAGATGTCACTATCCGCACTGAACAGATGAAGAAGCTGAGGCTCAGAGGAGCCAAGAGGTTTGCTGAAGGTCCCTCTGCTACCTGGAGAACCAGGATTTCAGAGCCAGTTCAGAGCTCTTTCCATGACAGGATGCTGGACACAGGAAACACTGGATTCTGAAGAGCCTGCCTCCCCACCAGAGCCACCTGTGACCCCCTATAGGGTTAAATAGCATCCCCCCAAATTCATGTCTACCCAGAACCTCAGAATGTGATTTGGAATACAGGGCCTTTACAAATGTAATTAAGTTAAGATGAAGTCGTACTGGACCGGTGTCCTTTTAAGAGGAGAGGACACAGACAGACACACACACACACACATAGAAGCCCTGTGATAACAGAGGCAGAGATTAGGGTTACGAAGCTACAAGCCAAGGAGCACCAAGGATGGCCAGGGGCCATCAGAAGCTATGAAGAGGCAAGAAAGGATCCTTCCCTAGACTACAGAGGGACCTTGGCCCTGCCGACACCTTGATTTTGGACATCTAACCTCCAGAACTATGAGAATACACTTCTGTTATTTTAAACCTCCAAGTTCATGGTACTTTGTTACAGCAGCGATAGGAAATGGGGACCCCAGCTTTTCTGCACCTCCTTTGAATCCCTCCATGCCTGGATCAGATGAATTTGGCACCTACATCCACGGCCGCACTGAGGTCTGATGCTACTCTCTGGGAGGTGCGGTCTTCCCAGCCCCGCTGGGACTATAAGCAGCTGTGGAGCACAGCTGTGTGCCAGGCTCCGGGCTAGGCCCCAGAGACACAACAATGAACAAACACACACAGCTCCGGCCTTCGTGGGACTTATGTTCTGGTGAGAGCCAATCTTAATTAAAAAGCCATACAGAGGTAAAATTACCCACCGTGAAGAGTGGCTTGAAATGAAGGTTGGAGATGCCAGCAGAGTGCTTTATAAGTAGGGTAACCTGAGCATTTAGGAGGCAAACCAGGACACTGCTGAGGGGGGTAAAGTGTGAAACCAGACAGAGGGCACAAATCAGGACCACCCCGGGCACAGCGAGGGGTGAAAACAAAGCACACATCCCTACAGGCTCCTTCCCAAAAGGTTAAGAGAGAGAAGGTAAAATTCCAGGGCACAGCCAGGTCCTGAACAGGTGTTAAAAGGATATCAAGTATGTAGCTGCAGGCATGGAGCTTCCTCCCCACTCCACCACAACACCCTGAGGCTGAGCAGGGCCAAACAGAAATCTCGGGCACTTGCCCGCAGACAGTCCAAGAGATCCATCAGCAGGGCCGTACTTGCTTGTAGATGTTCCTTGGTCCCCAGCAGGCAGGAACCAGGAACGTGGCCTAGGTGACAGCTAACGCATCCTTATCATTACACTTAAGCATTCTGGCATGCCCAGGCCAGGTTAAAGGCAAGCCCCATACCGACCAGCTATGCAAACAGTTGCACAACCTGTCTCTGACCTCAAGGAGGTCTTCTGTCTTTGCCTCTGGGAAGGTTGTGAGAACAGGTACCTCGAGGGGTGAGTGCAGGGTACCCAGCCCGGGGCAGCCGGAAATAAACATTAATGATCTTTTGTCAAGGGCAGAATGTGGCCTCAAGGGAGTGAGAAGCCACAAAGGGGCTGAATCTTTGGCCTTAGCTATACCAATTCTTTGCCCTACCCAGCTGAGCCATGCAGCCAGATCACAGCTCGCAGGCCAGGCAGGCACTCAACTCAGGGCCCCTCTCTGTCTGGTGCCCTTTCTCCTGCCCATAATCTGTTGCCGGCAGGGTGGCCCCTCTACGCTCAGGCAGTCAGGAGGAGGGACAGGAACAAGCCCCCTTTTTGCATCATACTCTCCTGATCTTGAAAGAAGTCAGATCCTGACCTTCAGTGGGGCACAAAGGAAAGCCACTGTACCAGGACTATCCCGCAGCGCCTGTGAAGGAAGGGAGGTGGGTACGACCCTCCTTCCAGCCAGGATTCCACCTGTTTTCAAATGCCAGCCTGTCCCACGGCTTTTCCACCTACCCCTGGGCTCTGGGACCTGGAGGCACATCGTCAAGTGTTCAAGTTCTAAACCTGATCCCTAGAACTCAGCAGCAAGGCCATGAACTCTAGCACCCAGGATCACTGGTGGGTGGAAGAGGGGGCTGGGCTTGTACGGGGTAAGTGGGGCTCACAGATATTGGAATGACGGAGAGTCAAGAAGTTCAGATACGTGGGTCAGTTTCGAAAACCCTGGTATCTCTACAAATAAAGAGAATTCAGATCCAGGGATGGGAGTGAAGAGTCCTTATGCGTCTTCCTACCTTTGCACTGATGCTGACAGTGCTCTCTGCCTGGGTGCTCTCTGAAACAGCATCCCAACCAACTTTTGTAACATGCCTTAAATTTCCAAAGGGCTTTCACACACATCATTGCAAGTATAATAACAATACCTGCCGTTCAGTGTTAGTTAAGCACCAACCTCCACACAGCTTCTACTACTGGATAAGCAACTCACAGAGATTTAAAAAAAAATTCTGACCAAAGCCTTATGAGGTAGATATTATTCCCACTTTCAAACAAAGGGAAACTAAAGGTTGGAGAGGTTTTGTCATTCACAGGCCACACAGCAGAGTGGAGATTCAAACCCCAGCAGGCTGACTTCAGGCTCCATGCTCTGCCTCTCCCAGGAAAAGCAGACTCGGCAAAGTACATACCAGTTAATTTGTCAAAACTACTCTCTTCTAGCACCAAGAGAGGCTTGACGTCTAGTCTCTGAGCTTGCCATTGCCTGGTTATCTGAACTTCAGCATGCTACTTTTTCTCTTCTCTCAATTTCCTCATCTGTAAAATGTGGTGTTGGAAGAGATGTTTATAAGTTCCCATCAAATCAGTGATTCATCTTACCCTTCCATAGCCCTGAGAGTCAGATCTTAGCATATCCAGTTTTCAGAAGAAGAAACTCAACACTCGTCTAGTCAAAAGGGTTATTTAGGGTCAAATAGCTAAAGCCAACACTCAAACCCTGGCTTCAGAGCCCAAACTGTAACTCTTTCGACTGGAACACATTCACAGACCCATTCCCCCAGTGATCTGACCCAGATTAGGGCTGTAGCCTACAGCCCAGATGAGTTTGATAAGGTTCCCAGAACTCCCCGCTGCCCCAGGCCAAGTTTGGTAGTAGAGCGTGGTCCTCAACAGTTGGGTCAAATGCAGCTAAATGGTTTATTCTAGAGTCTTCAGCTCCCAAATAAGAAAGCCAACTGGGAGCCCCATGGGGCTGGGGGGGGCTTTGCTGTCCAGTAGGAGGGGATGTAAGGAAACAATGACTTGTGCCATACTTGGGTCAACGAGACCTTCTAGGAAGGAGGGGCATTCTGGGAATGAGGGGCAATCTCTGCCTAATTCTGAGAGCACAGGGAACAAGTAACTGAACAGTCATGAAGTCATTGCATTCCTTCTCAGCTGCTCGGCCTGAGGGGGCTTTCATAGCAGGAAGCATGAGCTCACTGTAAATCTGTGCACTGAGGCTCATTCCTGAGCTACTGGTATACCAGTGCAGGGTGCAATTCAGACGAGGGCACGCCTGTCCCTCCCCACCTCCCCAGAGGCAGAGAACAGGAATCTCAAGGAAGGAAGAAGTTTTGACCAAGGGGCATTGAAGAGCATGTGTGGACACACCACAGTGGGATGGCCTCCCCAGGGATGAAAAGACACAGCTGACTTGCCTGCTACCTGCTGCCACATGTCATGTGTCCCTTTTGCCCTTTAAGGGTGATCTGACCAAGTAATCTGAGTTGGTAATGACTGATAGTGGCCTGCCCTGCAGTCTTCACGGCATACCTCCCATATCTACATGCCACTAACGTCCACTATGTCCTGCCCCAAAAGGCTCCTGCCAGAGTCCATCTTCCCTTCTCCTTCAGCCCATCTCATCAGCCCAGGGTCTGAGAAGGGTCACTGCAATCCATTTTCTCAACTTGGGCACTAGTGACATTTGGGGCTGAATAAATTCTCTGTGTGGGGATTGTCCTGTGCATTGTAGGTTAGCAGCCATCCCTGGCCTCTACCCTCTAGGTGCCATCCACCTCTCATTCATGACAATCAAAACTGTCTTCAGACATTGCTGAGTGTCCCCTCCTTTGCTGGTTAAAACAGTCAAACAAACAAATAGAATATTTTAGGGTAAGTGCGTTGGATTAAAATGGGTATAAATCACTGTGAAGCATATTTTCTTTGCTTCATGTTAGTTTAAGTAAATGAATGATTTAAAACAAAATCAGTCCTGGTTGAGAACCACTGCTCTGAGCCAATGATTCTAACAGGTCCCCAGTGGTAGGAACAGCTAGTGAAGCATGAAATGTGTATGACTCACAACCTTCAGTGTCCAGCAGTGGGGTGTGGTGAAGCCAACTAAAATGTATCCATCTGAAAGACCATTTTTTAAGTGACAAATGTTTGTGCAAACATCCGTACTCAAAAACTACTCTGAGGGGGGAAATATCCAATATGGAGATAGCAGCAAAATAATAAAGTCTTCACAACCTAAAGACATATTAAAAAGACCAACGACAAAACCTTACAGCTCCAAACAAAGAAGGATCAGTTAGACATCTGCTTGGGTGAGATAACAGGATTACTGGTAAAAGCACTCTTTTTGCTTAAACTTCTGTTAATATGAGTGATTAACATAAAGCAAAGAAAAGGTATGCTTCACAGTGACTTATACCAATTTTAGTCAGGTGCAATTATCCTAAAATAGTTTTGGTTTGCCATTTTAGCCAGCAAAGGAGAGAGGGTGCACTTAGGAAACAACAAATTCGCACTTGGCCTCTCCTGCTGGCTCCTTTGTCTTCAGTCAGGAGAAACAATCCCTTTGGAGGAGGCACCATCTCCATCCAGTCCCACCATCTCCTCACTTCCCAGGGGTGGGGCCAGGGAGGGCCACAGCTTGGCAGCTCTTGCTGACCTGAACTTACCTCGGATTTCAGCGTGGTGGTTTGAGGGTTGCCACTCGGAGTATAATGGGTTTCTGTGTAGGTTGGAGCAAAAAGGTGCCTGCAAAGAATAAGAACAGACATTGTCTCCCGAGGTGCCAGACTCTACCCTCCTGGGAACTATGGCTGGTCACTGTAACTGAAGCGGGCAGAACCGCCCCATGCAGCTCTGTACAGAAGAAACCAGGCGGCCATAAGGGCCTAAGAAACCAAAAGAAAACCAGGAGGGGGTTTGTTATGAATTTTGTATTAGTGGGGATCATCATTTAGCTCAGACAACCAGATGGAGTGAACAGAACGAAAGCTGTGGACTTGAACTTTTTCTGGGTCCTGGGAACACACACACATTCAAAATTGACCTGGATTGATTTTTCTGCCACTGCATCCACCACCTTGTAGTACCAGCACAGTAATTTTCCTTTAAGGGAATACCTCTCCCCTGCCGCATGGTTTGGTGAGACTGTCAATCAAGGTGTCCTCCCTGGCCCTGGCCAAGGGTGGCCATGAGCCAAGTGAAGCCAATGGAACAATGCCGCAAGAGCTGGACAGACGGGAGCAATTCTCCTGTTCCTTTGCTCCTGCTGCACGGATCCTGAAGCTGCCTTGGCCTGTCCTTTCTGAGAACGAGGGGTTCAGACTTCCTGAGACCTGGTACTGCTGTGTGTCACCCTTCCAGTAAATTATTTTATTTTCTGAAATTACACATTGGCTTCTCTCTTGCTACAGGGAGAGGTTAAGAATCCCTTGCCAAAGGAAAGGCAACACCAAACAAGGTTCCTAGAATTTCTCTAAAAGTAAATAAATAAACAAACAAACAAACAAATAAATAAATAAAGGAGCGAAATGAATGCTCCAGCTAGCTCAGCTACAGTGAAAGCAGAGTGCGCCTATAGAAAGTCAAGGTCAGGGGGCAGGCAAAAGGACTTCTAATGGAAGAGAAACTGGAGTTTAACAAAAAAAGAATTAAGTGAATCTATATGTGCTAACTGGAAAGAATGTTTAAAATTGAGTTAGATAAAAAATTAATTTTAAGAAAGTACGCATTTTAAAAATTCCTTTAAATGAAAAATAATCATAGTACAGCTTAGGGCATGCATTGAAATCAACTCGGGCCCAGCAGGGCGTGGCTCAGCGGTTGAGCGTCGACCTAGGATCCAGGAGATCAGGGTTCGATTCCCGGTCAGGGCACATGCCCGGGTTGCAGGCTGCAGCCGATCAATGACTCTCTCATCATTGATGTTTCTATCTCTCTCTCTCCCTCTCCCTTCCTCTCTCTGAAATCAATAAAGATATATTAAAAAAAAGAAAAAAGAAATCAACTCGGAAGCAAATGCCCACTGTTAATGGCGGTTATCTCAGGGGACTGCAGATGTTCACAATGTCAGTTACATATCTCTGAAAATTGGTTGATTTTTAAAAATAATGATCAGGCGTTCGTTTTGAAAACTGAAAACCTAATTTGAAACTCTTTTTCAGATGAAGAAAATACAGGCTGAGGCCAGCACAGAAGGCCAAAGGAATCTGCCGGGACCACTCCGATTCTGGAAGAGGTGACATTNTGAAGCTGCCTTGGCCTGTCCTTTCTGAGAACGAGGGGTTCAGACTTCCTGAGACCTGGTACTGCTGTGTGTCACCCTTCCAGTAAATTATTTTATTTTCTGAAATTACACATTGGCTTCTCTCTTGCTACAGGGAGAGGTTAAGAATCCCTTGCCAAAGGAAAGGCAACACCAAACAAGGTTCCTAGAATTTCTCTAAAAGTAAATAAATAAACAAACAAACAAACAAATAAATAAATAAAGGAGCGAAATGAATGCTCCAGCTAGCTCAGCTACAGTGAAAGCAGAGTGCGCCTATAGAAAGTCAAGGTCAGGGGGCAGGCAAAAGGACTTCTAATGGAAGAGAAACTGGAGTTTAACAAAAAAAGAATTAAGTGAATCTATATGTGCTAACTGGAAAGAATGTTTAAAATTGAGTTAGATAAAAAATTAATTTTAAGAAAGTACGCATTTTAAAAATTCCTTTAAATGAAAAATAATCATAGTACAGCTTAGGGCATGCATTGAAATCAACTCGGGCCCAGCAGGGCGTGGCTCAGCGGTTGAGCGTCGACCTAGGATCCAGGAGATCAGGGTTCGATTCCCGGTCAGGGCACATGCCCGGGTTGCAGGCTGCAGCCGATCAATGACTCTCTCATCATTGATGTTTCTATCTCTCTCTCTCCCTCTCCCTTCCTCTCTCTGAAATCAATAAAGATATATTAAAAAAAAGAAAAAAGAAATCAACTCGGAAGCAAATGCCCACTGTTAATGGCGGTTATCTCAGGGGACTGCAGATGTTCACAATGTCAGTTACATATCTCTGAAAATTGGTTGATTTTTAAAAATAATGATCAGGCGTTCGTTTTGAAAACTGAAAACCTAATTTGAAACTCTTTTTCAGATGAAGAAAATACAGGCTGAGGCCAGCACAGAAGGCCAAAGGAATCTGCCGGGACCACTCCGATTCTGGAAGAGGTGACATTTCCCAGAAAGACGGGGTCACTGAAGAGTCTCTAGAGTCACTTCCAGCTCTAAGTTCTGGGACTCCTGCCTCTCAAGATTCCCCTCTATCCCGAGAGTGCAGTCAGAAGGCAAATGCCACAAGAATGATCTCTTGTATCACATCAAGCCCTTCAATGTCCAGTCCTGGACAAGAAGAAAAGAAAGTCAACAGGGAAATGTAAAAATAATGCAAAGCCCGAAGCCCAGCTTGTGCGGAGAAGCTCCCATGACACGGACACTCTGGGTCAGCAGCTGTCCTGCTGAGCTCCGTCTCCCAGCCCTTTCTCTCTCCTGCGCATCTAAGCAGCCAAGTATCTAGGGAGGAGTCACCCACTTGTGTGACGGAGATAAACTGCGGGCCCCATGAGGACAGAGGCCAAGCTGCTCTGCTCACCAGTACACGTCAGTGTTTAACATTTACTCAATGAAAGGATGGCTTAACTAATTACTGAATGAAGGAATGAATAAACGAAGGAATAAGTAAACGAGTGAGTTGCTCAGCATTCTAGGAGCTGAGAACATGGTCTGGAGTCTGAGAGCCTGAGGTTTCAATGCCAGTTCTGACATTTACTGCCTCCATGGCCATGAGCAAGTTACTTTGTCCCTCTGAATGTCTGTTTTCTCTGCTTCAAAAACAAAGATAAATAACCTTACTTGATAGGACTGTCAGAAAACGACAAAATGCATGAAAAGAGCTTAACACCAAGTAGGTACAGCGTGGAGCTCAGTAAAGGTGAGAGATGATCATTATTGCTTCCAACAGGAAGTACGATGGAAGAACCCAGCAAAACTGATGGAATTTACCTATTTCCCTCGGGAAAAGCAATTAGCTCATTCCTGCAGCCAATTTCCTGGGTCTGGTCTCACAAACTGCACAATGGACAGCCAGGCAGGGGTTCAGAGTTTAATGGCCCATCCGGGTGCCAATGGGATGTAAATTTTCCCACAGAAAATGTACTCTTGACAAATACATTCTCGGCCTCGTCTCAGTCTTAGAGGGAGAAATTATTCAGAGGGTGACATTAAGATGCTCCAAAGAAAGCCATCCAGAGTGAACCTCACAGATGACCACACTCTTGCCAGTCCTCAGCCGCTCTCAGGACTCTCAGAGCCTCAGCACTGAAAGGGACTTTAGGAATCATAGCCAAACTCACTAGACTATGGCTTCTTAAGAGGAGGGCACATGGATGCCTTGTTCAAGACTTCTCTCCTGCTTTGAGCTCCTACCAGGCAGGCAGTACATGTTTATTTGGTGGATAAGTGGATTAATGAATAAATGAATGAACTTTCTACCTTGTGTAGGAATCTGCCAGGGGGCCATTCAGCCCTGGACATATCCTGCGATGGGGAGCTCCTAAGACCACCCACTCAACATTTGACCGAATCTAGTAGTCAAAGAAAGTTCTTACATTGAACCAAAAACTACTTCTCTATAACTGGTGCCCACTGGCCCTCATTCTGTGTTCTGAATCTTCTGCTTCTACCTAACTGCCCTTTTGGGACCAGCAGCATCAGCACTGCCTAGGAACTAGTTAAAACTGCAACTTGTCGGCCTTCACCCTGGATATACTGAAGCATAAAGAAACTCTGGGGTTGGGGTCTAACCATCTATTGTGATAGCACAGTCATTCTGATAAGAATCACCACCCTAGACCATAAAATTTCAACATACTTCTAAGGAAGGTTATCTTCAGAAATGTCAAAAGAGTCTCAAGTCTCACTATCCCCATCACCTTCCTACCTCCGCCACATTCTGGATCCTTCTGAGCTTGGGAAACCTAGAAAAGTTGCCATCAAAGTAGTTCGCATGTAACTAAGTGTTCAATTATTTCACCTTCACAACACACCTAAGTACTAACCCCCCTCCTCATCTTGTTACTGAGGGTACTGGGAACTGGGATGTGTAATTGTCCAGACTCTCTGGTCACAGTCTCAGAGCCAGGTTTCAAACCCAGGTCTCATGGTCCTGACCATACTTTTCAAGCAGTTCTCTGCTCTGTCTCTTAGAAGGTGAAGCAGAGCCTGGCCGGGCGTGGTCAGCAGTTGAGCATCAACCGAGGATCCAGGAGATCGAAGTTCAATTCCAGGTCAGGGCACAAGCCCGGGTTGCAGGCTCAATCCCCAGCAGGGGCATATAGGAGGCAGCCGATCGATGATGACTCTCTCTCATCCTTGATGTTTCTATCTCTCTCTCTCCCCCTCCTTTCCTCTCTCTGAAATCAATAAAGATACATTTAAAACAAACAAATAAAAAACAAAAACAAAAAAAAAGAAAGTGGAAGCAGAAAACTAAGGCACTGCCAGGAACCAGTAGTCAAAACACAATTTGATGGTGATGCTAGTGGCCTTGAGGACATATCTGCTGTCACACAAAAGAGACTCGGCTCTTAGATGTGGCTAAGTACAGAGAGGAGCAAGAGGTATAAGCAAAGGACAGGGCAGGAAGAAGGAGTTGGACATGTGAGAACTTCAGGGCTAGTTTTTTTTTATTTTTTTAAAAAATAACAACCCTTTCCCC